AAAAAAAAAAAAAAAAAAAAAAAAAGAATATTTTTAAAGAAGTGCTACCAAGTGTGGAGGATGGGGGTGGGAGTGGGGTTGCTTTAATGAACAGGAAAGGATCATTGATAATTAATTTATCCGTTTCTCAGAGAGACTAGATGTCTGCTAGCCGTGAACTCCTCTGGGATTTTGAGGGTTGTGGCTAATGGTCTAAGTGCAGATAGCAAGGGGCTCAGTTATGTAACGCTTGCTGATACCATACACTCCTACACTTGCAAGAAGCCTTGATGCTAAATTACATTCAACTCAAATATCTGGTTAGCAAGACAGATAGAAAAAAAAGGAGATTCCTGAGTTATTCCTAATAGCAATACCATAATATAGATAATAAAATGACTTTAGTTGCAATATCTTGAAAGATCATAAGATGGGGGTGTTGCTCCACTAGAGAAAGAGAAATTCATGTTTATGTGATTATCCATGCAGACTTGATCTGCCCAAGGCAAGGATGCATGTATTTAATAATTATAAATTTGTTCATTTTCACTGTACCTGTACAGGGCAAGTACAGTCTGCCCTGTAACTGCTACTGGTAATGACTTTATGTCATTTTTTGTAGGTTATGTGATATTTTAAATCTCTCTTTCTTTTGCCCAAATGAAATAGCTTTCCATAGCTTGTACTGTATCATTTTTCCAAGAAAATGGAGGCTTCTTTTATAATCTTTCTGACCACTGCCTCTTACAACTCTTCCTTTTTTTTTTTTTCTTTTGAGATGGTGTCTCTCGTTGCCCAGGCTGGAGTGCAGTGGCACGTTCTCGGCTCACTTCAACCTTTGCCTCCTGGATTCAAGCAATTCTCCTGCCTCAGCCTCTCAAGTAGCTGGGATTACAGGCACCCACCACCATGCCCGGCTAACTTTTGTATTTTTTAAGTAGAGATGGGGTTTCACCATGTTGGCCAGGCTGGTCTCGAATTCCCGACCTCAAATCATCCACCTGCCTCAGCCTCCCAAAGTGCTGGGATTACAGGCGTGAGCCACTGCGCCCAGCTCCATCTACTTTTAGTAGTGGAAAACTTATTTTTAAAGCCTCAAAGACTACATTTATTTTTCTACTCTAGAACTTTTCTTCAAGCCTCTTTATTTGACATTTCATATTTATCTTGTCTTTATGGACTTGATTTTATATCTAGTTTTAGAAATATTGGGATCTTTATTTATTGTTCTTTTATTAAAAGAATTTGAAAACCAAAATGACAATTCCTTAGTGCTTTGGAGGACTTCAAAGTAAATTTTTTTTTTAGACAGGATTTCAGTCTGTTACCCAGGCTGGAGTGCAGTGGAACAATCTCAGCTCACTGCAACTGCCACCTCCCGGATTCAAGTGATTCTCCTGCCTCAGCCTCCCAAGTAGCTGGGATTACAGGCATGCACCACCATGCCCGGCTAATTTTTGTATTTTTAGTAGAGACGGAGTTTCACCATGTTGGCCAGGCTGGTGTCGAACTCCTAACCTCAGGTGATCTGCCCGCCTGCGCCTCCTTAATAAGGTACTCAGTCTTCAGATTGAAAGTAAGAATATGAGTTGGTAATAGGCTCTATTCTGTGTATTGGCACATCCTACAGATTTGGGTCCCTTTGTCGAAAGTCATCGTATCAGATCTTCACAGGGTTTTCCCCTCCCCCACTTCCCCAGGTATCTGCTTTGCAAGTATTCCATTGACTGTTGAAAAATATAAGTGAGCTTTTCTGGCTACTTTTCTTCCTCTGTAATACCTGAGGTTCATTTAGATGGTAGCTGCTTACAGAGTCTTACAGCCTCAAAATTGACAGAGCACTTAGAGAATCTAAACCCTCGTTGGTTCTCAGCACATTCCGCCTTAGCCCTTGACTGGCAACAGATAAGCTGGGCTTCTCCTTCATGAAGAAGGCAGAAGCTGTCAGATGAGAACAACCTCAGCACACTGCCATCAAATCTGACACCTTTCTACATTGGTGATCATGGTTTCCTCTTCCCTCCTAAGTGTACTTCCCCTGTTTGAAGCCAGTTCCACCCTTTACCCCCTGAATCTCATTGTCTTCCATTTTTCTAAGAGCTTTTATCTGCTATTATTCCTCTCTCCAGCATAGCTGACCTCTTACTCGTTATTGGCCACCTCTTCAGTATTTAAGTGTGCTCTAACTTCTTCTTAATTATAATTAAGGAATAATTATAATTACAACCTTACCCCTACCCCCACCCCCTGTATGGTCCTTATCACCGGCTGCTTACAAACCTGCCTTCTCCACCACAGATTTCCTTGATTACTTGCTTATACTCTTATGTCTGTTCACTCCCCACCCATGCATCAGTCCTTTCTAATCTTTATTCTGCCCCTACCACTTCACCAGAATTGCTTTTGTGGAGGTCACCAGTGACTTCCATATTGCTAAAGCCACAGAACATTTTTCAGTTCTCATCTTAGTCTCTCAACAACATTTCACACAGTCAGCTGTTCCTTCCTTCTGGAAATGTCTTCTTCTTTTGTATCCATAACAGCATGTTTTGTTTTGTTTTTGTTTTTTTTCATAGGCCCTCCTGTCTACCTAGCCATCAAATACAGACATTCCTCGGGGCCTGGGCCTGGACTTACTCTCTTCTCCTTCTGTGTTCTCCCCAGGTGATCTCATCTGCTCCCATGGCTTCAGCATTCCAGCTGCTCTTGTATTTCTGTCTCCAGCCAAGGCTTCCCTCCTCTGAGTATCAGACTTGCACACCCAGTTTTCTCTTCTACATTTCTTCTTGAATGTCTCAGAGACACTTCAAATTCAGCACGCCCCGAGCAGAATTCATCATTTTTTCAGGCAAACCCGCTTCTGCTGCTTTAAACCCAATGTTAAGTGGCTTAAACCAGAAACCTTAACATCATCCTGTACTCTTCTTTCTTCTTTACTCCCACCTCACCCTACATCCATTTATTTACCAAGACCTGTCATATCTGCCTCCCAAATAACTTTCCAATCTGCCTCTTGCCTCTGCTCCCACTGTCCCATGCCATCAGTTATGGCTGAGATTGCAGTAGCATCCTAGTTGGTCTCCTCTTCTATCCCCAACCCCACAGGGCCATTCTTCACATCATAGCTGGTATAAAGTTTTAACTCAAAAGTGATCTCCTTACTCTCTTGCTTAAAACCATTTAATGGTTTCTCATTACTCACAAAGGGAAGTTCAGACTCTTAGCATTGTCCTAAAAGCTCTGTATGATCTGGTCCCTGACTACCTTTCTAGTATTATTTCACATCATTCTCTGCAGGGTTCACTATGTCCCCACTACTCAGGATTTCTTAAAATCCTTCTAATGTACCACCAGGGCATTGCTGTCTGCTTTAGGGTTTTGACATAAGCTGATTTCACCACCTGGAATGCACTTTCTATTCCCTTTAGGTCTTAGTTTAAATGTCGCTTCCTCCTCTAGGTTTTTCCTGTTCGGCTTAAGTCCAACTTTTAAAAAGTTACTCTAACATTTGGCATTTCAGTAAGCTCAGAACATTTTAAAATAATAGTTCAACATCTGTATTCCTCACTTCACCAAAAATTCTGAGGGCATAGCAGTCTAGCACAGGATCTGGCATACACTGGGTACCCAGTATGTCCTCATTAGGGGTAAGTAAGAGAGTGAATGGAGAAGCTAAAACACAGAGGAGTAGACATTGTTGTCCCCATTCTTGACTCCATCTAGTTCGTAGTCCTAGTTTAGCAGTCTTCAAAGTTGTTCCGGCCAGGCGCAGTGGCTCACGCCTGTAATCCCAGCACTTTGGGAGACCGAGGCGGTGGATCACCTGAGTTCAGGAGTTCGAGAACAGCCTGGCCAACATGGTGAAACCCTGTCTCTACTAAAAACACAAAAATTAGCTGGGCGTGGTGGCGGATGCCTGTAATCCCAGCTACTCGGGAAGCTGCGGCAGGAGAATCGCTTGAACCCAGGAGGCCGGGTTGCAATGAGCCAAGATCGCACCATTACACTCCAACCTAGGCAACAAGAGCAAAACTCCATCTCAAAAAAAAAAGGAAAAAAAAGGTTGTTGCCTCCTTCCTTTATAAGCCATAGACTTTCCTTCTACTCCGTTGTTATGTTTCTACATTGCTCTAATTGGAAACTTGTGGATGAACCTTCTGGTTTAGAGATTATGTAATGAAAAATGCTATCTTAATCTTTTAACAGTCAAAGTAGTCACAAGGCAGGATTCAAACATAAAACCCTGGTAAGTATCTCTAAATATGTGTGGACAAAATAGAGATACATTTACTCTCCCCAGGAGCAAGCTTTTTGTTGTTGTTATTGTTGGGGGCAGGAGGTATGTTTTTAGTTTTTGCCTTTGCTTGAAACATCTCTCAGAAAGGCAGTTTTAATCACTCAAGCCTTTTGACGAATATGTTCAAATGAGTTAAGAAGCTTCTCTTAACTTCGTGCCTAGGAAGCGAGCTGCCTGCAAATCAGTGAATGGCTCTCATAAGTACAAAGGGAATTCCAAAGATGTGAAGCCTCCAGATCTCTGGATCCATCATGAGAGACTGGAGCTGAAACCCATAGATAAGTCTCCAGACCCAAACCCCATCATGACTGATACTCCAATTCCTCGCAACTCTCAAGATATCACACCAGTTGACAACTCCATGGACAGCAATATCCATCAAAGGCGAAATTCATACAGAGGTACCATTTTAAGTGTAGGTTTTTTCCTCAAATGTTAGGAGACTGGTTTCATTTAAATCATTTTCCTCCTGAGGTTGCCTTCATTTGGCAATTCCTATATGGCATCAGATTTAGAGAAATGTGTGTTATAAGATTTGGGAACATATGATAAAGAATAGCTAGCTTCTTATGGGAGAGAGGTACTCGTATAGGTACACACCCATACGAGACAATCTTGCAGATCTTTTAGGTCTCTCATCAGGCTTCAGCAGTATGATATTTAAGCATTTGAGGCTGCTAGCTAGCCCATGTCTGTGCATTTCATTCAGTGTCTTCAGCTGGCTTCCAGCTAGCATTGTGGTATTCAGAACGTTCTTCGTCTGGAGGCCCTTTCAGACACTCTGTGAAGTGTGGCGGGCAGCATTGTGACATCCACATTGATTCAGCAGGAACTCTTATGATGCTCTCATGATCATTTTCCTCTTTATTTCACTTCTTGCAGAAATGTCTTGTCCCCATTGTGTTGTTTGTGAATTCTGAATCCCCTACTAGAAATGTTTCACTGTTGAGGCTGCTCAGTGGCATAGGGCACATGCTGGTAACTAACCTCCACATTTAACATCTAGGGCATGAGTCAGAGGACAGCATGTCTACACTGGCTGGAAGGCGGGGAATGAGACCAAAAATGATGATGCCCTTTGACTCCCAGCCACCCCAGCGTAAGTAGAAGCTTCTCTTTTCCTCAGTGCTACCAATCTGTTCAGTCATGTAGGGGAACAACTATGAATGATCTTTTTGACTTCACTGGATTCTAACACAAAGATAATCTACCGAAGCTTTGACACCTTGAAGGAGGAAGTACCAAACACTTGCCATATTTTGCAACAAACATTATTCTTGAGGCTAGCGTCGTTATGTTTATGGTAAATAAGCTGAAAAGCCAATGTCTCCAGATCCCCGGGAATAGGGAGGTCTCCCTAAAAGTGCATCGTATCTCTATAGGAGAGATGGGAAAGCTTCCCTCCAGACTAGGGCTAAGGCTGGCCCGATGTTACAAGTTTTCGTTGTGCTTCCTGATACCAGTGCTAATGAGCACCTATGGAATTTATTTTTTTAATTAATAGATTTAAAGGCCAAGCAAGGTGGCCCACACCTATAATCCTAGTGTTTTGGGAGACCAAGGTGGGAGGGTTGCTGGAGGCCAGGAGTTCTAGACCAGCCCGGGCAATGTTGTAGTGGGACCCCATCTCTACCAAAAAAAATAAAAATAAAAATTAGCCATGACAAAAATTAGCCAGGTGTGGTGGTGCATGTCTGTAATCCCAGCTATTCAAGTGGCTGAGGCACGAGAATCTCCTGAACCTGGGAAGCAGAAGTTGCAGTGAGCCAAGATCGTGCTGCTGCACTCCAGCCAGGGTGACAGAGTGAGACTCGGTCTCAAAAAAAAAAAAAAAGTTAAAAAAAAAAAAAAACCAGGCATCGTGGCACACAACCTGTAGTCCCAGCTACTACCCAGGAGGCTGAGATGGAAGGATTTCTTGAACCCAGGGTTTAAGGTTGTAGTGAGCTACGATTTTGCACCTTTGCACTCCAGCTTGGACAACAGAGCCAAGAGCCAGTCTCTAAATTAGTTAAAGTAATAAAATTAAAAAATAAAATTATTAGACTTTATATTTTAGAATAGCTTCAGGTTTTATTGTACGGATTTTTT